ATCTGTGAACATACAACCCAGCTAACCCTGCAGCAGATTGGGTACGGCAGTAGTAAATCAAATATGAACATAAAAATGACACTATGATTTGCATAGATTCACCAAAGTTTGACAATAACAGGTTGTAAATAAAATGTTTCCTGGTCTGATTGGTCTTGATTTCAGCCCAGACATTCAGACAGTAGAGTCAGAATTTGGTGTAAACAGCGTGGAAAGATGGATCTATCTCGTCTCATTTGTAAAGTAATTCTAAAATTAACGACATTCTCACAGCTCGAGGCGGTCCGACCTGGTGCTATGAAGGTGTTGGTGAACGTGAACTTAAAAGTAAACCTTGAGCTACACCATAGTTCCAGCTATAACTGATAAACAATTTCCTACATTTACAAGTAATGTTCCATCAGTGAGATATGATTTGAACCAGGCGAATCTATTTGAGCCTACCTGATAGAACGATGGTGTCTACAGCTCTAGAGTGTGTGTTTAGGTCTGCTAATGCCAGTAGTGATAGTTTGTTCATATCCATATGCTAAATTGCAATGGGAAGTCTGTAGCTCTGCATAGGGCTTATGTTTGATCTCAAATGTAGTTGTATAATGGGGGAGTAGCATGCATGTATGTCTTTGTGTGCCTCTGAGTGGGAGAACCAGCAATGTTTCATACATTTTTGTAGCACCCAAGTACCCTGGGGAGACGGGGGGAAGAGAGGGGTAACCTGATTTGTGACACAAAGATCCTAACACACACTGCAACGCCCTCACACAGAGGCTTAAAAACAGGGATTATGAGCTATATTTGTAGGTGTGAATGTAGAGCAATATTTCCTTTCAGGTCTCTCTCATCTCTTTATCTTGCGGCCGAGCGCTTCCCTTTGATCTCAGCTTCAATTTGGTGTTTTTCATTGTGCGGTCCTATGTGGCTCCTGGAGCCCACTGGCCTATTCACGGAGCTCCATAATAAGCTTCTAATTATCCCAGGACCTCATCAAGTTTCTTTGAGGATGGAGGGGGTGGGGGGATGGGGGGGGACACAGCAAAGCCGCCTCCTTGTATGAGTTGGCATGGCGACTGTAGAGGTGATGGAGACCTGAAGGAGGCCACCAAAAGGACCGCCATACTGTTTTGTTTTCTCTTCTAGCAGAGCAAGGGAAGTGAAATGTGTTATCCATGTGGATTAAGTGCTGTGGCTTACATACATATTCACACACCTTAGAGCTTTTAATATTTTATTGCCTTTCTTACATAAGTTTAGATGTCTATTTTTTTTTTTTTTTTTTGGCTGGGATTAATAAAGTCTCAAAAAAAAAAGGGCATATTTTTGAAGTAAAAAGACAAAATCAAAAGGAAAGGTACATGGTTTTCAACTTTTTTTTTTTTTTTCACAAATAAAAATCCAGAAGCACAGAGCTTTCTTTATCTCTCTTGCAAGGCACTGTATGCATACCTCAGTTTAAGTGGATAAAAGTGCAGCTCTGGAAAAAATTAAGAGACCAGTACAAAATGACCAGTTCTCTGATTGTACTCTTTATAGGTCTGTGTTTGAGTAAAATGAACATTGTTCTTTTATTCTATGAACTACTGACAACATGTCTCCGAAATTCCAAGCAAAAACTTTCTATTTATGTGCAGAAAATGAGAAATGGTCTAAATAACAAAAAAAGATGCGGTGCTTTCAGACCTCAGATAATGCAAAGGAAACAAGTTCATATTCATTTGGAAACAACAATACTAATGTTTTAACTCGGGAAGAGTTCAGAAACCAATATTTGGTGGAATAACCAGGAGGTTTTCAGTGGAGTTCACTGGAGAGGTCTCTTCATCATTTTTTCCAGAGCTGTTTGTGTCGAGTTTTAATTTGTGGGCCAACCATGAATGAACTCGGATTATGGGAAAGTTCTGACCTCTTTAGCAGCTTCCACCCAGCTCTACGTAGCCTCTTCTGGTCGTGCAGCGCCCTTCCCATTTCCTGTTTATGGTGTCATGGAAATAGTCAGGGTTCCTTTCCTCTGCTTCCACATGCCGGAGAACCACAAAAACACTTAATGCTGCCTGCGACTAACCTCAAGCCAAGCGGCTCGGTGACGCTGCAGAGTCTGTGACCAGAATTAGAACTTCAAATCATGAACAGATATAAATAGCTGGTGAAAAATGGGGAGTTTTTTTTTCTTTCTTTCTTTTTTTGTGGAGACATTTGTCATTAAGAGCTTGGTATAAATCACGCCCTATAATGCCCTAATTCAAAGACAACTCCGATTTCTTTCAGTTGCTAGGCAACCACGGAGCGCCACGGCAATGCTCGAAGTTAAAGGCTGACAACCCAGCGGGGTGAAGAAAACAGTGGATAGTTGGTGGAATCACTATCTTTTATAGCTCTGAGGTTCCATTACACGGCCAGCTGACAGTGACAATGATACACTGTCACCGCTGAGTAATTATCCAGCGCTATTCGTCCCTCCGGTGTATGCTAACACACTATGTCAGCTAAATGTCGTCCACCGGAGCGCTGCAACTCGACCACTACCGTCGAAGAAGAAAGAAATCGGTTAACAGTTGACAGATTGGACATGACAAACTCTGGCTTTGAAATGTTTGTTGAAAACTGCAAACAGGACAGACAGCTTTTGAGAGATTCAGGAAAGAGTCGAGAACGATTACCACACAAATAAGAGGTAAACATTTAATTGAATGGGGCAAAAAAGGATTTCGAACAAAACACGACTTAGAGAGACCAGTTTTCAGTGTGAGAAAAATAACTTTTTTCAAGTTGATGCAGAATATATATTTTTTCTTCTGTTTTGGATTTTATGAGAGAGCAACACCACGCAGTGCATGAAAATGAAAGAAAAGTGTGGAAACTTTGTTAGTGCGATCCCTTTTGGTGTGACTCTGCAAAATAAAATCCAGTGCAACAAAGTGCCTTACATCGACTAATTAGTAGCAAGAATCCAACTGTGTGAAATTTAATCTTATTTCTGCGAAGGCCTCTGAGGTTTTGCTGCAGTATCGCAAAGACTCAATCGAGGCTAAGGTTGGGGAGAAGTTTAAAGCAGGATCTGGTTTTTAATTAAGCAACATCACTAAGTGGAACTTTGGGAAGATGTGTTAACATTTGGAGATAAACATTTAAAAAGAGAATCCTACCAAGAGTCAATGGTTGTGGCATAAGTGGCCTAGTCAAAGCTTGCAGTTGAATCAGAAAATTTTTGATATTAAAAAAAATGCAAAAATAGTAATCTGTAATTTGTAAAGCGGCAATCCTTTTTCCACAAACGAGTCCATCTATGTTGAATATAATTTGTTGTTTAGTCAGGACTAGTGAAAGGTCACAGCACGAGGAGAATGGACAGATTTCTCTCATGTGATCTCACACCTTATGGAAGTACTCTCTGTTACAGAACAAACAGCGTTTTTCAAACACTCCGCAACTACAGGACGATCAGGATTTATCCAAATACACACTGATATAATATACCTGACTATTCACTTAGCTTGTTTATGTTAAAGTACAAATAAGAATAAGGTCAATTTTTCCTCTTTATTGCCACAGCTATGCTGAAACATGTCAAACAAATCGGTAAAAGCCAAAATGCAATCAAAACCAATTTGAGAAATACACATGTAAAAGTCTAGATCAAATTACAAAATATATACGTATATATTTTGATCAAAGTTTGATGGTTTCTGCTTCCCCGCTTTGTCTTCTGTTCTGCAAACAGACTGCTGCCACTCCACAGTGACACTTGTGGATTGAAGCCAGACATTGTCAGCTCATTATCGACACCCTGTCATGTGTTGTCAGCTAGTTCTCTGCCTTCTTCTTCTCTCTCTCTCTCTTTCTCTCTCTCTCTCTCTCTGTCTCTCCCTCTCTCTCTCTGTCTCTTTCTCTCTGTGTGTGTGTGTGTGTGTGTGTGTGTGTGTGTGTGTGTGTGTGTGTGTGTGTGTGTGTTTGAACAAAGTGTGGGAGGAATTTGAACTGAAAGATGTCTCCCTGCTCTGGCTCCTCATCTGGGGCTTTCAATTGTTTTTAATAATAAAAATTCTGAATAGTGTGGTGTGCACTTATTTTTACTTGCATCAGTCCGTATTGTATTTCCATGCATGTTCCCATCTGCCCTGACCAATGTCCTTTCGAAAATGCATCCCCACAGGATGATATTGCCACCACTAAAGGAATGGGCATTGTACAATACATTTGGGTCTTAGATGACCAGAGATGTCATTTGGTCATCTCTGACCATCTCTGACCAGAGATGACCAGATGTTTTGACACATACAGTAGGGGTGAAATAAATATTGAGAGCATCACAAGTTTTCTTAGTAAACATACTATGAAAGTGTTACTGAAATGTTTAATCCAAACAATCCATATTTGGAAAGAAACGAAAACAAATAAGTTCAGAAATTAACTTATGTGTAATGAGGTACAATAACAGAGAGAATAAGTATAGAAAGGGAGGCTGAAAAAGACGCGAGAAGCCAAGAGACCAGCTGAAATCTATCAGTGATCTGAAAGCCATCCTAACCCTTGGCGGCGCAAATGAATGTCATCTGGTTCAGTCCAAACTGAGTTAGATGTACCCGAGTCATCCCTGAATAAAGAGGCCATCGCAGATCGCTTCATGAAACTCACAAACGAGGCAAGTCAGCGTTTGGTTTCTATACTCCTCAGCTAGGGAGTCCCTGACAAAACTGAGATGTGCAGTCAGATATATTTTTATTTTTTTGTGTGTGAATATTAAAATCTTTATATATTTTTGGAGTGCTGGTTGTTTTCATTTTCTACATGGATTTTACCAATTCTTTTTTGATGTATTTATTTTTCTCTAATGCATTTAGAGAAGCTTTGATGCATGACGCAGTTTGCTGTCTCAAAGAAGAAGAAGATAAAACGTCGACAAGGGTACGATTTCAAGTCACGGTAAAATGTTTGTAGCAAACCTTGTTTTTAGAACAAGCTTTATTCATCTGTTTTTTTTTACTTGTCCTTTCCTGCAAAACAACCTGCTGCTCACAGCAGGCGGGAACAAACCCTCGCTGAGCACCTCTCTTTCTATTTCCATCTCAGAAACTTCTGCTTTCCTCTTCGACGCTTCCTCTTTCAGACGTCAGCAGGTTGTAGAGAGACCAAACGTGTGTTCGTATCTCGTTTTCGTGTCAGTGTGCCTGCTGAGCACTTCCTGCTCCCTGACAGCACTTTGATAGGAATATCCTACTACAGGGACAGACAAAAGTTGAGTCTGGCCTTCTCTCTCCCTCTCTCTCGTCTCCATGCTTGACACGTTCTCGGAGTTTCCTGACACGCCTCACATTTCTGGCTCCTTAACGTGCCCCACCGACAGGAGCTGCCTGATGTGATAGCAGCTGAGAGACAGAAGTGAGGGACAGACAGAGGATGAAGAGTATGCCAGTGATGAAAATCGGTGGGGGTGGCGTTATGTTTACAGCGTGGCGTTTGCAAGCAGCAGACAGCGAGACACGCTCAGCATGCAGGAGGGGAGGAAATGAACAATGCAGGGGAAGTGATCAGTAATCTGCAAAGCTAGCTGTCAGCCTCCGCTGCAAACAGCCCGTCTGGATCTCATTATGGGTAAATTAATTTGGCACAGATCCTCCGACCGAAATATTCATGAGCAAATTGAGGAAGTAAGTGTGCCTCTGTGTGATTACGGAAGAAATGAAAAACAGTGAGAGGTAAGATTTGGCACATGTTTTTTTTTTGTTTTTTTTGTCCTGTGATTTCCCTGAGTGGCACTGAAAACCGAGTTTGCTCTATTACATCTCTCTGCACTCATTACGAGACTTCTTCAAATCTCCCATGTGGCTTGGCTGCGACCAGAAAAGCAAGTTTCTGCTCAAATACGGTTGGAGTGTTGCAATTAATGCTTTGCCTCTCTTGTGTTTTGTCAGATCGCTTCACTGTTGCAGTCAGAAATAAGAGAGGAGCACAGAAGAAGTTAATTGTTTGTTGCACGTTAGTGAGATGTCTGAAACAAAACTTGCAGGTAAAACAACAAATATCTCATTCTGGTTATTAATCGCTATGTTTAGTCTGTTTTTTTCCCCTACTGATGTACAGACGTACTGGTTGCATCGTTTGGAAGCACCTGTGTCTCAGTGGGGGGGGAAAATAGTTGCTTTTCAGTCCAAACTTTGGGGGGTTTGGTTTCCAAATGTTGCGTGTTGGTAAGAGCTGGGCACTTATAAAACTCCAAGTTGCCAATCATTCTGCGTATTATTGTACAAATGTGCGCACATTTGTTAATTGTAATATTGGAGTTAGATTGGTTCACCTTCACTTGGACCAGACAGCTTGTGTTGCTGATCACTGGATTAAATCCAGTCTGATTTCTGACACTTTGACTAGTCTCCTTCACAATGCCAGTCGTTCTCAAGTTAAGTGTTGACATATCCAGTGTGTATCGTCCCTTTTACCAACTACACTCATCCCCAGTACTCCACAGCCTTTGTAACAGTTTGATGTCTGTAACTGGGTCTAGTCCTGTATCAGTGGAGGCCTAAAGACAGATGAATAATGAATAAATAATCTTTAGAAACAAGATTTGTTTTTGAGGCAGGCTTTGTATGAAAACAGAAAACCAAAAAAAAAAAAATAAAAAGATTAAAGGTGTCTAGGCACGAAGAGAAAGTCACAGTACAACAAAGACAAAAAATGTGACAAAAAAACAAAGGAAACATGGTGAGACACGGAAGGAGGTAATAAGTCACAGCAGACAGATGTGAAAGCAACTAAACTGTATCAGAGTGTGCAGTGAGCATGACGCAAAACCGACTGGGAAGAACAGACACTCAAAATAAAACAAGGAAGCAAAACGTTACCACAAGAGCAAGGGACTGTAAAACCGCAACACGGTTAAAAAAACTATGCGAGGAGCTGTTCATCCACAATGTCGTGTACATCAACAGAAAACTTACAAAGGCTAAAGGAGAAGGAAACCGCCAGACAGATAGTTGAAACCACAATGCTAAACAGTGAGTTGGCAGATGAGAGCTCCCATGGTGCAGATTTAAAACCAATTCATCTGTTGGACCCTGTAGACCCGTGCCGTCCAGACTTTTCTCCACTTGGACCAAGATCACCATACTGGAAGCACTTGTGGGGCCACACAGACACACACCAACTACATTTTGCCAAGTTTAGTAAATGGGGATGCCCGTATTTCCGATAGTACTTATGCTGACATTAAAATCAATAAAGACATACCCTTAAAGTGAGTGCACATCTGTAACAGCTGCCTTTTCTGGTAGGCCAAATTGGTACCATTATTCAAAGTTATGGAGTATGCATAATCATCGCAAGGACCACAAATGGCTCCTGGGCTGCTCTCAGGACACTGCTTCTGTAAACCCTTTAGAGGTAATACTTACTAATATGGACCATAAAAAGCTGTTTTATTACAAAGGATATGACTAAAGCTTATCTGGAACATATAAACTCTGTTTCCACTGAAAACGTGGGTCTTGGTTCACTTGGAAGTGCTGCACAGAAGGAAAGCAAAGGGAACTTTTTGCACTGCACCTGCCCCGGCCCTGGTTGTGTTTGCGTTGGCCTGAATGTTGCCTCGAAAGATGGCAGGGATCATCATCTATCTGTATGTGAGCGCCTTTAATTTAGAAAACAACAATGGGCAACATTGAGCTTCTGTTGCCGCACGTCAGCAAGTAGGCTCAGGAGAAAAAAAATGTACCTTGTCATGGGATCTGACAACAGGGGTAGAATCCATCAAACAATTAAAACAATGAGCTCAAGCAACAACCAGCAACTGATTACTAAAGAGAATGAGCAGTGATGGCTGACTTCAAAGGCTGGCCCGAATGGAGCCACAGCTGTCAGGGTTCCAGAGAGTTGGGTGGAATTGGGCCATACAGGCTAATGCTGTCATGATTTGCGGCTTGCGGTGGTGAGGAAGATGCGGTTGGACCCAGGTTAAGGTGCAAATGATGGTTTTTAATGAACAAACGATTCACAAAAATCCAGGCAGCACAGGTGAGCAGCGGCAAAGCTCTGAGTCTGGTAGCAACTGGTAAATAATTACAACAACTGACGTAAGACTACTGACAGTAAGCGATAGACGAGGACCCAACAGGGAACAAGAGACACAGGTGGGTATAAGTACACAGGGAAGGTAATCAGGGGAAACAAGGGGCATCTGGGAACAATCAAGGGGCAGATGGGACAACACTGGAGCTAAATAAACACACAGAAAACCCAAATCCTCACAAATGCATCTACGTCCAACCCAGGTTTGAACCCATTCCAGGCCCTACAGTGCAAAAAGACCTAAACAGACAATCTGGTGAAGCAAAGAGAAAGTAAACCAGAGGGAGGAACTGGCTTGTGATTAACAGATATATATGTCATCTGAAAAGTTTTAAATACTTGCAATACCTCACTCTGTATGATTGTACCCACAGCAACAGAGTGTCTTATTCTTCACTGTCTTTCTTTGAAATGCTGCCTCGCCTCTTTTGACAGCACTACAAGTTTACATCACTGATGCATGCAGATCTTCACCTGCTCCCTACCTTGGACTTCAGGCTCCCCCAGTCCTACATGTTTCAGATGTGTCTCTGTTTCAGGATTCAAAAGACTGCATGACCTGTTCAGTGATTCGAGGATTTAAGGATTGTTGTACCACCTTGATAATTTGTGGTACAAAATTTGTACTCAGGTCCCAGATCAAGAAATCCACTACACACACACACACACACACACACACACACACACACACACACACACACACACACACACAAAATATAGACAAATAATTGAATAAAACAAATATATATGGTTATGTGTATGTGTGTAAATGATCTATGAGGTGAAGCTGCATTTGGTGCAGCCCGAGTTAATGGGTCTGATGGCTGAAGGGAAGGATCTATTCCTCAGCCTGGTGGTCTTGCTCTGGATGCTTCTCAGCCTCCTGCCTGAGGGGAGCAGCTGGAGCAGTTTATGTGCAGGATGAGTGGAGTCCTTCATGATGAGGAGCGCCCTCCTCCTGCATCGTGCTGTGTAGAGGTCCGAGGTGGAGAAACGGCTGCTCCCCACAGTCTTCTGTGCACCCTTAACCACCCTTGTCCTCTCAGCAGCAGTGCAGCTGCTGTGCCACACGGTGATGCAGGTGCAGAGAACGCTCTTACAGTGATAGAAGCTCCTCAGGACTGAGTTTCCAAGTCCAGTTCTCCGCAGCTTCCTGAGGAAGTAGAGATTCTGGTGGGCCTTCCTGACCAGACGGGAGGAGTTGGTACCCCAGGTGAGGTCACTGGATATCTGCACACTCAGGTACCGGTAGCTGGAGACCACCTCCACAGCTGCTAATCGGATGTACAGGGGCTGAAGAGGTTCCTTGTCCTTTCTGAAATCCACCACCATCTCCTTGGTCTTCTTCACATTAATGCAGAGGTTATTTTCCCTGCACCACTGCACCGGGTGTTCCACCTCCTCTATGTATTTGGACTCATCACTGTTCATGACGCGTCCCACTACTGCTGTGTCGTCAGCAAACTTTACTATATGACAGCTGGGGTGTCTTGCTGAGCAGTCAAACGTCAGCAGAGTGAAGATAATGGGGGCTCAACCCTGTGGCGAGCCAGCGCTGAGGGTGATGGAGGAGGAGACGGTGTTGTGGATCCTGACATGATTCTGCATGCCACCTAGAGTTGCTGAAGCCACTCTTTGTGTGGCAGCAAAGAGGCACTTAAAACATACAGGACTGGTGGAGGGGGTTGGAGAACCAAGGCTGGGAACCACTGGTCTAGAAGACTCTTGAATTGACTTGCAGAAATGAGTGTTCCTGGGAAAGGAGGCTGGGATCACCAGAGTTCAAGCATTATTCAGCTTTAGCTTGGAGACATTCATGGGAAATGTTAAATGAATCTGCATTATGTGGATTAGTTAAGGAGGATCTCCTCTTTTTTTCCCTGAAACAACCACGGATAAGCAAGAAAAGCCATTAAGCATATTAATCCGATATGACCCGGCACACAAGGACAGAGCAGGTCCTCATTCAACCTCACCTTTCCCTGCAGCCTCTTCCATATCTACCTACAGTAGGCACTTGGATTATATTTTTCCCCCCTAAACAAGAAGAAACTATGATTTTACAAATGATGCTGAGACTTGGTTATGATTTATGTCTGTCTAGTCTCATCTGATTCTGATGAATGGGAACCATTAACAGGACTCATCTTGAGTTATGAGCCCTATCGCAGTGCTGTGATGAATGGGTGAAAGTGTGTTTGTGAGCATGTGGTGAGCATTCATAAGATGTAGGAGTAGTGTGAAGCAAACAGGAGCAAATAGCACATAAAAGGAAGAGGGATGAAGCAGAAAGAAAAAAAATTGCTCATGTAGTAAACAGCGTGTACAGCGTGCAGACAGGAAGAGAGAGAAAAAAAGAGAGAGAGTAGGGAGGGACGCGCGGAGGGAGACGGAGCTTGCCGTCTGGCAAAACAGCATCCTTCCCTCCTTCTCCGCTCCTCCCCTTGGTCCTCTCGGCATCTCTCCCACGCTCCAGCTCCCCCAGATCCTCCCGGGGAACGCAAACACCGCTCGGCTCGGTTTCTCCGTGTGAGCCAGCCACTTGACTCGGTACTTTTCCGTGTGTTTGTCTACCTGCGGCGGCGGCGGCGGCGGCGGGAACAGCGGAGGTGGGAGCGCGGAGTCCTCTGACCCTCTGTCGCCCACTCGCCTTCTCCAGAGGAGAGGGGGGAGATATGGATGGACTGCGCTTGCCTCCACTCATAGAAGAGGCTCTGGACTCCACAGGTCGGTGCTGCTGCTCGTTTAGTCAGCGTTTTGCTTTGCGCAGCTCACGTAGATTCAGGAGAAAGGAGAGAGGGGGGAAAGGTAGCGGCTTGATGTTTATCTCAGCTGAGGAAGTGTTTATAGCTACTACAGGGGTTGTTGAGAGGAGCTGGGCAGAGGTGACCGCGCGCGACGAGACAGGGAGATGACTGTTTTCATTATGAGTGGGCACCGTGGGGTCAGCTATGGGCATATGCTCACTTTTGATGGAGACTGTGAGGTGAGACATGGCTGCCAGCCCATAGTATAGGGAATAATGTAGGCCGAGTGTTGGCTCTGTTACACGAGTAGCATATGTTATTGTCAGGGTTGAGAATTGTCTTCTTTTTTCTCTCTCTCTCTTTCTCTCTCTCTCCTCTGCAAGGTCGTGCTGAACAGCTGCAGCTTTATTCCATAGAGCGTTGTTACATTAAACACAGAGCATTCTTGTTTTCTAAATCAGTGATTTTTACTGAGAAAAATCTCTGGAATGTTTTCTGTGTCTGTGTGTGTACGTGTGTGTGTCCAAACAAAGAAGAATCTTGTTTTGCATGTTTTGAATGGTTGTGCAGACAGGGCGGCCCTGTGAGGAACTCTGCTTTGAGGATGTTTATCAGTGTAGAGAGAGAACCAGCTCCAGAGGCCTGCCGGTCCGCCTGCGTCCAGGCTTCCTGTCAAGCTGTGCCCTTAAACTGAACTTCAGAGGGTCGCCTCTGTATGTGAACTGGGTGAGGCGTAAGTCATTTCAATCTGGAGAGACTCAGACGGAGAGAGGGAAGCAGTTAAAAGGGTTTAATGACAAAAATAACATGAAAATAAACACAAAGTTCTTTGGCGATCAGGCCCCGGCCAGGGACGTCGAGCTGGACTTCGATAAGCTCGATGAACATTCCTGATGCAGCGAGGGAATGTAAACCCCCCGGGGCCTGTGCTGGTGGCGGCGGTCAGAGGATGATGAGGCCTGAGAGCCGGGAGCTGAAGGTGGAGGTGGGGTGGCGGTGGGTTGATCGGGGCTGGTAAGCGGAGGAGGCTTGGAGTGAAGGTCCTTTTGAACCTGAGCCTGGACGATGATTGGCTGGAGTGAGGCGTGGACCTGCGTTGATAGGTCCGGGTGCGGAGAGGGAGGCACTGATAGCAGGGCCAGGTGCGACAAAAGAGTCTTCCAGCCTGAACTTCAGTCAAGACTCCATTAGCACACTGCGAATGACTTGTGGAAAAAGGCTTTCAACTTTTTCCACATTTTGTCAAAAACATCAGTCTACTTTGTGGGATTTCATCCAAATGTTTCAATCAAAAGTCTGATAAGTGTGAGCATTTATTTTTACTCAGTCAACACTTTGTAGACTCATCGTTTGGGGTCTGTCTGGTGAGATTTTTTTTGCATATTCATCTTTCCAAAATAGTTTGGGCTTCGTCACATTTGATTACGAGCGTCTCTGAAGATCAGTTCTCACATCTGGACATGGATTCCTTATCACGATTGGGTCTTAACTTTGACTGGACCGTTCTAAAGCATAGATTTGCTTCTGTTTTTCACAACAAGCTTCTATTTCCCTTTTGAATGAATGCTTACCCACAGCATGATGCAGCCACTACCAAGCCTTACCAGTGGGATAAAGCGTTCAGATTGATGTACTCCGCTAGCTAGTTTCAGATAATGAGTTGAGCTTTGCTTCGTTAGATGTTCCAAGCTCGACTCAATATTTTGTCACCTAAACGTTCTTTCTAGTGAACACTTTTTGTTCACAAGTGCTCTCCAACAAATCCTGAGGCCAGAATCAGTTGAATTGAGATTCATTTACACACAGTGGGTCACTGATAACTTGTCAACTTCTTCATGCAACTGATTTTATTTAAGGATACTGGAGTAAAATGGTGCAGGATAAAATGGATGCCTGTTTTTCATATTTTTATTTGTAAAATTGTCTCAAACCACAAACTACTTGAGCTAAAGCTACTATTTTCTTTCTTTTTTTTCCAAAAAAAATCACATTACATCACAATAAAATACGTTGAAATTTGTGTTTGTAACATATATGTTTTTTAAAACAATTTATTAAAATCACTGTACAAGTGTCATAATCTTCTGCAGCTGTATATAATTACTATTTATAATTAGTAAACCAGCTTTACCAGTTTTTGTCACATTTTGAAAGGTTTTCTGTTTTTTGGAATAAAATACTGATTTGCCAGCTGTAAAAATCCATAGGTGAAGGAGTAAAAACCCACTTGTTTTTTTTTCTGTATACATCGCTGAGCCTGTCATCAGAAAAATGTCTTCCAGGGATGTAACGAGTGAAGGATCTGCAGCTACAGTCACTTATTAAAGCAGCTTCTGGTTAACCAGGGAGCATTTTACCTTCCTAAACCAACAAACAAACAAATCCCGGAGCATTTTAAGCATCTGAAATTCACAAAATAGACTTACTGAATCATTTGTGTGTACTCGCTAATGCTGCTTAATACACTGCTGAAGGCTGTGTATTGACCATCATAACACACGGATGCTGTCTCGGGAGAAAACTCTTCCTCCCTAACAAGCTTGTTCCTGTTGCGGTAACTCCAGGGACCTCTTTCCTTTCATCATAGCCCGCGGCCCGCTGTTAACGCGGGAAATTCAGCGTGCAGCGATGGCAAGTGTGGGTTCTTCAGTAATAACCATCCTGACTGTTTCACTATAATAACACTAAAGCGAGCGTAAAGTGGACAGAGTGATGGCTGGCATTAGCTCATGTTCAGGATTACACATAGTTGCGAGTCTAAATGGCTTAATGCGCCTTTTACTCTGACTGAGGTCATTTCTAGCTAGACATCAGTCATCAATCTGGCATGTGAAAAGAGATTTTTTTTTTTTGTTCTTGTTTTTCTATCATGCTTGGAAAGATTATTTAATCATTGTGGGGAAAAATGCTCGTATAAGAACAAAAAGGTCTTACACAAACACACACTGTCACTAATCAATAAAACATCATCAGACGTGCGGTTGACATTTACAGCTGTCTAAAAACATTCTCCTCTGCTGGTCCTCCCACTTGCTCAAGCCGCCAAGCGTTTCTCTCAATTCGTTCCCACTCGATTCCTGATTCCCCCTCCGTTACCGCTGCCATCCTCTGCTCTCTCCAGCGCCCACACACACACACACACACACACACGCACGCCCATGTACTCACGCACAAACCCTTTTGCACCTGACAGTGTCCTCGGCCCACGCAGCTTCTCTCCAGCGCTTGTTGGTGCAAAAAAAAAAAAAAAAAGTAAAAAAAAAAATTCCCTCATCAGCAGTGAAACTTTCCGAAGGCACACACACAAACAGGAATCCTCCAAGGCTCTCTGGAACTCATAAACAGCACAGTGTGCCGCCTTAGAAAAACTTTGAAAGCTCTGAGAAACACAACAAGAGAAAATAAATCGTGCATGCTTTTCCAGCCCTGGGGTATTTTCCGGCTGATCTGTCGTGACCTCCTTCGAAATACACTGGGGGGAAATAAGTATTGAACGCGGTTTTCTCATTCGGTTATGTCTAATTAAAGTGTCAGTTCTCTTCAATACTGAAAGATGGCCCAAAACCGTAATGTTCCCAGATCCAAACTTTATTGATCCGTGATGTTTTGGGAAGTTTCTGTGCAATGCCATTCCTCTTACAGGCATATTGTGTGCAATGATGTCTAAAGAGTTCGGTGTTTATCTCAATTAACCCAATTCATTTGGCTTCACTGACCAGTTCAAAAGTTCTGAAGTAAAACCTAAAAGGGATTCAACATGCTTTTTCTTCAGCGGTGGAGTATTACGCAGCGAGAGGCCGCTGAGATTGAGTGGAATCCTTTTTGTTTTCATTGAAAAAACCCCCCAAAACTTTCTGCAAGTGGAATTTGGCTGTCGAACGATTCCCTCTGACTGTTTTAGACTCCTCCATCGAATATATTGCAAAGAGCAAATGGTTATGCTCCGTTTGAGGGCAAATTATGTTCTTTACAATTCTACTTTATGGCCCCGGTGCTGCTAACTTGAACTTTTGTTATGCTTCTGTTGGCAATGCCATCGGTATATTTTACAAGCTATAATGTTCTAAAGGTTTAGAAAGGATCCCTTTGCTTTTTGCTTGTCATGGATGGATTGAAATGAGAAACATTTTATAGGCCACCAATTAGGACTACACAAGCCAATGTTAATGTGCAGTAAGAAGCAACATTGCCCTTTAAATACTGACAGATTTCAGCAATTTTCTCTTGCCTCTCTCTCTCTCTCTCTCTCTCTCTCGCTCTCTCAAATTTTGATATCTATTGCTTGTATACACATAACTTAATTGATAAACTTGTTTGTTTCAATTTCTTTAAATGTGTTGACTAATTGGGCCGTTACTGACAGAGTGGATTTAACACGAGAAATGTTTCCATTCGAAACATAGGAGAAATGTTGACGTATTTATTTCGCGCACATGTAAGTGCTTCATTTAAAAAAAACGATTTCAAAGCACTCTGCAAAAATAAGTGGGCCATACGTTGTTTTGTCGCTGCTCTGTTCCATAATGGGAGAACTCTTGAAGCTCTCCAGTGAGTTGAGAAAGTTTGGGAACTCGGGCGGCTCCTTTCTGCTGATTTCACATTTTCCAGCCTCTCGGGGGGGGGGGCTGGCATTGTAGCGCCATCATTAGCGCGCCCCGCCTCACCATTAGTCTCTTTCTTTTTCCGAAATTTTGCAGCTTTGCTGTGACTTTGCGTTGCTCTCTCTCATTTTGTGCGACTGAAGTGACGTCAAACCTCGGAAAGAGATTGCTCTCAGGTGGGATTTGTTGATATGTGATCAAACGGATTATTGCTGCATCACTTGTTTTTCATGCCTTGTTCTTTCCTGCTGTTCGTCCCTCCTAATGGATTACCGCACGGATGCGCAAAGTCCTCCAAACCCACAATCCCTGCAGAAATCACCCATCCAGACTCGCACAGTTTTTTCGCAAGCTCATTTAATGAGGCCAAATTGTGACA